GATTTGATACATTAAACACTAAAGACCGAAGACCAGAAGAGTTGTGGGATGACATCAAGAATATCATACATGAAGAGAGCAAAAAGTACTGATTTAGGTATTTATAATACAGCAGGGTGGCCCAGGATCGGGCAGTGTTTCGTTCAGCTGTGTATAAGGTTGTTATGAGTCAGCACCGACTCGATGGCACCTAACAACAACAATACAGCAGAGGAGTCTTGTTGTGGTGCTGCAGGTTGATGCACTGGACTACAAGGTCAGTTTGAACTGCAAGGTTGACAGTTCAAACTCACCAGTTGCTCCTTGGAAGCTCTATACAGGGTTGCTATGAGTTGGAACCAACTTGATAGCACTTAACAACAGTACAGCAGATAGCAAGCCAGTTATAGACTCTAACCTTATAGGAGGTTTTAATGCTCTGACATCTGCTTTGATTCCTGGATCTATTAAATGCTGTATGATTTTGAGCAATTACTTAATCCACTGTGTTTGAGTTTCCAAGTTTTCCCAGTAATGGGAGCACTGAAATAGAAGAGGAAGCTGAAGAGGTCCAGAGGTTTTCTCCTATCGATGGTGATATTAAGCAAGTTTGTATACTAATAGAGAAGCAGAGTGGAAAATGGAAAACACATTGCTAAGGTAACACAAGATGATAACCAGACCACATGTAGTCGTTTGAGAGAAAAAGGTGCACTTTCTCCACTATAACCTGAGAGAAAAAGAGATGAGTGCAAACTTAGGTAGATTTAAAGATCTGAGTTAAAGAGCAGGTTAAATCACTGGCTGAAAATAAAGTTTGAGGAGGAACATAGAAGCCTTGAGGAGAGATGGTAAAGCATCAGACAAGAGTCTAACTAAGTGGGAAAGTACACATCACTGGAGAAATGCAGTAGATTTGCCAGGCTAATCTCAAATTTGTCATAAATCGAAAGTGAAGCCAGTCAGATTTATGGTATGATTGTTCTCCAGGATTATCAGCTATTTGGGCCTAGGCACTAAGAAGACATTTATTTAAGGTAGTTATCTCTTTAGTTGGGGGACGTATACTGAAAACATTTATAAAGGAATGATTTAATGATGAATCCTAAAATCTAGACTAGATAGGAGAGTAGGTGAAGCTAGGAGAGGCCTAGTGAATGTTACAGTATTTGAAACCAGTGGTCTAAAAGTATATATGATATGGAAGAATTTTGCAGCAGAAGTCTATCTTCTAACTAGCTATAGAATAAAATTCTACAGGTTTGAGAAAGTGCCTTTTTATGTCCATCTCTACAATTTCTATAAAATAACTTGAAAATAGTAAGAGTCAAATAATCCTTGCTAAGTTGATTAGCAAGAAACCCACCAGCTTACCTGACATGTTACAGCCAGTGTATGACAGATTTGAGTCTTTCCAGTTCGAAATTCTCCAAACATCTCTGTGATGGATCCAGTCTCAATTCCACCTAAAAGAACAATAATAAACAACTCTTAACATAATATAAGGAGTCTTGGTGTGGTGCTGTAGGGTAAGCACCTGACTGCAAACCAAAAGATCAATGGTTAAACCCATCAGCTGCTCCCTGGAAACCCTATACAGGATCGCTATGGGGTGGAACTGACTCGATGGCACTTAACAAGAACAAGCATAATATGAAGGTCTATACGCTACAACCACTACTCCTCTGTCAGTTTGTTGTATTGTGGTGGCTTGCATGTTGCTGTGATTCTGAAACCTATGCCACGGGTATTTTAAATACTAGCAGGGTCATTCATGGTAGAAAGGTTTCAGATGAGCTTCCAGAGGCAGACAGACTTGTCACTGGAAATCTTATGAATAGCAGTGGAAAACTGTCAACACCAGAAAATCAAATACTGAAACATGATGAAGAGCACCAGAATACATACATTTTTATCAGATATAGTGCCGGAAAATGAAACCCTTAGGTTGGAAGGTACTCACAATATTGACTTTGGTGATATAAAGGATGCTGGAGATCGTATAATAAAATTTTACAAGACCAATGAATTCTTCATTGCAAATACCATTTTTTTAAAAACAACATAAAAGATGACTATACACATGGACCTTACCAGGTGGAATACACAGAAATCAAATTAACTGTATCTATGGAAAGAGACAATGCAAAAGCTACATATCATCAGTCAAAACAAGGCCAGGGACAGACTGTGGAACCAACCATTAATTGTTCATATGCAAATTCAGGCTGAACCTAAAGAAAATTAAAACCAGTCCAGAGCAGGATAATGCGCTGGACTACAAAGTCAGTTGGAACTGTAAAGTCATTGGTTCAAATCTACCAGTCACTCCTCAGAAACCCTACACAGGGTTGCTATGAGTTGAAATCAAATCGACAGCACTTAACATTGTATCTAGTAAATATAATGCAGGGGGGAGGCTTCTATTATTCAAATTTGGGTCTCATTCCTGTGCCTATGCTATTATGCTGTGGTTAAGTGCCATCAAGTTGGTTCTGACTCACAGCAACCTTGTATGAGGTTTCCAAGGACAGACTGGTGAGTTTGAAGCCCCAACTCTGTGGTTCAAATGGACCTTGTAGTCCAGTACTTATCCTATAGTGTCACATAAGGGCACCCTAAAAGAAAACCTGAATGATTAAATATTTGGGGAAGCAGCAATAGTCAAACCTAACTTTATAATAATTCGCAACAGCAATACTTTTCAAAAGTTCAAAAACTTCACAGCTTTATTTGAAGTCTCGAAAATTGGTATACACTCCTATAATGAATAGTATTTAAACATATTCAACCCTATGGTACAGTTATTGTTACGTGCCTTGGAGTCAGTTCTGACTCATGATGACCCTGCATAGGTTTTCCAAGGAACAACAGTAGGTTTGAACTGCTGACCTTTTGGACAGTAGTCCAGTGCTTATCCTACACTGCCACATGAAGTAAAGTAAAAGGTTTATTTGTGGTTTAATTTTGGCTATTTTTTCAGGCAAAGTATGCTGACTCTCTAAATGCATATTAAGTGAAGATTACATTTATATAATTTGTAGTAAACTTTTTTATATTTTTGTAAGTCAACTTTTCATGTTTGTTTTTTCTTTTAATAAGTCTCATCTTACCCTCTAGCAATTTTAATTATTCAGTGTGGGTACTTCCCCTATTTCTTAATTATAGCTAACATATATATCCTACCCTAATACTTTAGTTTTGTTCTATGGTCTGGATTCTTTTCTAATTGGAGTTCACAACACATGATAAGGAATACCTTGAAGTAGTTTATCAAGCTCTTTGGAGCCAGTAGTAATCTGTATGATCTCTGACCGCCTTTGGTGGAATTCAGTTGCAGTTGTAAAACCCATTGGCACTAATTTAGCAGCCTCAGTCTGTAAAGAGTAAAAGAAATGTTAAATCAGCAAAATAATATCCTTAATTAAAATAAGAACTAGGAATAAAATGAAAAGAGACAACATCTAACAAGAAGACTCAAATCACTAAACTAAGGAATGAAAGAGGACATTATGAGGATGGGGTAGGAGGTTAAAAAAATAAAGTGACTAGAGGTAAATACTAATAACTGATGATACATGGAGTGGACTGCAATCATTGCACTGACATGAAGTGTATAATTTGTTGACTGTGGGACTGATGATCTGTTCTGTAAACCTTCACTTAATTCACAATAAAAAGTTTAAAAATAAATTAGATAAATAAAATGGACAAATTCCTCCAAAGTCATAAATTAATCAAATCTCAAGATAAAAAAGGTCTGAACAGATCTATAGCAAATAGAGATTTAATTTAAAAACTTCCCACAAAGAAAAAAACTCAATGTACAGCTGAGCAGCAGCTCTAAACTTATGCTGTAAACTTTTCTATACTTGATACTCACTTGAAAATTCATTACAATGTTCACACAATAGCTTTGTAAATATAATTCTACAGAACCAAATGATGTCCTAGAAATACAATTTCTTCTCTAAAGCTCCAATGTTAACAACCTTATACCTCTCAAAGATTATTTTACCATCATTCAAATGAATTCTTTTTTTTTATATGCCACCAGTTTAAAAATCATGCCTGACAGAGACGATGACATGGAGAGATAGAGCAGCTGGGGACTCTAGACCCAGAGAGGAAGAGAGGCTGTGTGCTGACGATTGAGGGGCAGGCTTGCAGAGTATACCCTTTGGTTGTTTGATGATGCATGGAGGGGATTGTATTCATGGCAATGAAACAATATACAATAGGATGAATGTAAAGCTAATGTTCTCCCATGTATCACATAATTCACAATAAAACATAAAAAAAAACATGCCTCATTTTCCCTTGCTTCATATCTGAACCATGTCTAACATTTCCTGACTTCATCATTTATTTAATATTCTCAACCTCTCAATCTTACTTTGAATTCTGCTGGATCCCTTTAACCCTGAGAAAACTTCCTTTAAATTTCTCAACAGTCCACTCTCCCAGCTAGCTATTGTTCTGGTCCTTCCCTCACTAAGTCCCTGTAAACTTGATCCTTTCAATCCCTCATTTTGGTGAAGTACATTGTCAAGTGCTATCGAGTCGGTTCTGATGCATTGCGACCCTGTATAGGGTTTCCAAAGAGTGGCTGATGAGTTGGAACCATAGACCTTGCAGTTCAAATGGCTTTGCAGTCTGGCACATTAACCCACACACTGCCACACCAGGACTCCTTGGTGAAGTATCCTCAAGTAACTTCCTAAGTCAGAATGACTGAGAAGAAAACCTTCGGAATTTCTGAGAATGTTTTTATTCTATATTAATGAGTTCCTGGCATAGATTTCAGAATTTACAGCAACTGGTTTTTTAATATACAGGGGTTTCAAAAGTTTATGGCAAATAAACTTTTTTTTAATTCCATAAACTTTCTGAAGCTCCCTCATTATTTGAAAAGTGTTGCTCTACTGGCTTCTACCATCTAGCATTTCTGATACTAAATGTGCTGTTTTTCTGATTGTTTAAAAAAAATTTCTGTGAATTAAGGTTCATAAAACATTATTTTACATTCAGCAAATCATATACCTTGCTTCATTACAATTATTATAATCCCTTCCATGTATCAACATATCTATTCACTTTAACTACTGCATTCCTCCCTGTATTTCTCGCTTTCGTCTGCTAACCTCCCTCTTTTGTTGCATTTTGTTTGGCCTGCCACCCATGTTAACATGTGTCTACCCTCTAGCCCATGAACAGTTTTTACCTCCTCCCTGCCCACTCCATAGCCATCATAGAATGTTTCTTTTATCAAGAAAATTTCTTAACTTTTTACAACATTGGTCTCATACAATATTTGTCCTTTTGTAATTGACTAACTTCACGTGGACTGATTGGAAGAGATCAATATTTGTGCCCATTCCAAAAAGAGGTGACCCAACAGAATGTGGATATCATCGGACAATCTCTTTGATATCTCAAGCGAGCAAAGTTTTGCTAAAGGTAATACAGAAACAGCTACAATCATACATTGACAGAGAACTTCCAGAGGTTCAAGCTGGATTCAGAAGAGGCCATGGAACGAGAGATATCATTGCTGATGTCCGATGGATCTTGGCTGAAAACAGAGAATACCAGAAAGATGTTTACCTATGCTTTATTGACTACGCGAAGGCTTTTGATTGTGTGGCTCATGACAAGCTACGGACAACACTAAGAAGTATGAGTATTCCGGAACACTTAATTGTACTTCTGAGAAATCTGTACCTAGACCAAGAAGCAGTTGTTCGAACAGAGCATGGGAATACTGAATGTTTTAAAATTGGGGAAAGTGTGAGACAAGGTTGTGTTCTTTCACTATACTTATTCAACCTGTATGCTGAGCAAATAATACGAGAAGCTGGGTTCTATAAAGAAAAATGTGGCGTCAAGATTGGAGATATGCCTGCAATATGCTGATGATACAACCTTGCTTGCTGAAAGTGAAGAGGACTTGAAACATTTACTTATGAAGCTCAAAGAGCACAGCCTTTGGTATGGATTGCATCTCAATGTCAAGAAAACAAAAATCCTCACCAATGGACCAATAAACAACATTCTTATCAATGGAGAAAAAGATTGAAGTTGTCAAGGGCTTCATTCTTCTTGGATCAACTATCAACACTCACAGAAGCAGCAGTCAAGAGATCAGACGACGTATTGCATTGGGCAAATCTGCTGCACAGGAACTTTTTAAAGTATTGAAGAGCAGAGATGTCAATGTCAGCTTGAGGACTAAGGTGCGTCTGACCCAAGCCATGATATTTTCAATAACCTCATATGGATGCAAAAGCTGGACAGTGAATAAGGAAGATCGTAGAAGAATTGATGCCTTTGAGTTGTGGTGTTGGAGGAGAATACTGAAAGTGCCATGGACTGCCAAAAGAACCAATAGTCTGTTTTGGAAGAAGTGCAGCCAGAGTGCTCCTCGGAGGTCAAGATGGCTAAGCTTCGTCTCTCATACTTTGGACATATTGTCCAGAGGGAACAGTCACTGGAGAAGGATGTCATGCTGGGTAAGATGGAGAGTCAGAGAAAAAGAGGGAGACCCCTAATGAGATGGATTGGGGCATCATTGATGGACTCAAGTGTGGCAGCGGTAGTGAGGTTGGCCCAGGATTGGACATTGTTTCGTTCTGCTGTGCATGGGGTCGCTATGAGCCGGTTCTGACTCGATGGCACCTGACAACAACAACAACTTCACTCAGCATAATGTCCTCCAGGTTCATCCAAGTTGTGACCTATTTTGCAGATTCATCGTTATGCTCCAATGTTGCATAGTATTCCAATGTGTTTATGTACCAAAGTTTGTTTAACCATTCTTCTGTTGATAAGCATTTAGGCTGTCTCCATCTTTTTATCAATAGAAATGAATTGATTGCTGTCATTCTGCTGTGTGTTTGTGGCACTGCTGGTTTCTTTATTCTGCATAATTTTCTGTGCTGAGTTCATATTGTTTGTGGGTTTACTTTTCATTTTCATTTATTTTGTGTGGTTTTTCTTTTTTTGCTGTAAACTCAAAACTTTTAATAGCAGAATGTTGAGAAGTTATACACAAGGCATAGAATGGCAAGTAAGAGAAAACTTACTAGTAATATTCGTACTGAATCTGTCAAATGTTATCAAGAAAGCATATCTCAGCAAAAGTCAGTTATTGTCATATTAAAGTCTGAAAATATAGAAAAAGTCAGAGGAATCTGGTATTTATTGAATGAATTATTTCATTTACACTATCTTTTTCTCTCAACTATTCAGATTTATATTCCGGAATGGATTTTCTTTTCTTTAGTACAGTTTTATTTTTCTACTACAACAATGGATATTCTTGCTGAAAATGTCAATTCTAACGAATTTGAGGGGATGGGACAGAATATCCACAGTGACCAAACAAATCATTCTTAACATTCAGAGGCAAATAAAACTATCATAATCTTTACTAGAAGAAATTCATAATATAAAATGTCTGAAATCAGTTGAGTACACAAATGTCTACATATTTTGTATATTCCGATTCATTTATCACAGATTTCTATTTATGTGTTCTTAGACCAGAATGCTAATTTGATTTCTAAAACTAAGGTCTTAGAAGGCATAAACATTTTTGTTCAATCACTATACCTGATGCCCACAGAGAAGTATCAAATAGACTTGAGAGACCTCTACTGGCTCTTAACTGATATAACAAATCTTTTAAAGCATTAGAAATTTACAACTCTTCTTTCCAATTAAGTCATCACTTCACCCAATAAATGAGACTTAAAAAAACACAAGACTTCATACTTTCACAGATTATAATAGCCTTACCTCTTAGGGATTAAACTAAGAATTGCTTGTGGTGCTTGAGCCCTGACCAAATTACTAATAAGTGAAAGGATAGTGGGTGTCCTGGTATGGCACTGTGAGTTAATGTGCTGGCCTGCAAGGTCACTAGCGGCTCCTCAGAAACTCTACACAGGGTTGCTAGGAGTCGGAACCGACTAGACGGAACCTATCAACAACAACAAAAGGATAGTAGCGTCCTGGTATGGCACTGTGGGATAAAGTACTGGACTAGAAGGTTGGTTTGAACCACAAGATCGTTGGTTCAAACTTACCAGTGGCTCTTTGGAAACCCTAAACAGGGTTGCTAGAGTCAGAACTGACTCAACGGCACTTAACAGCAACATCAGTGTTAGAAACTCAAACTCATCATGTAAGAAGACCCAATAAAACAGAATTAATTATGCTGTATATATTAATGTGAACCCTAGTGTGGCGCTGTAGGATGAGCAATGGACTGCTAACCATCAAGGTCAGCAGTTCAAACCCACCAGTCGCTCTTGGAAACCCTATACAGGGTTGCTGTGAATCGGAACCAATTTGACAGCACTTAACAGCAACAAGACAGAGTCCTAGAATAAGCACTAAACTGCTAATCATAAGGTCGGTGGTTCAAACCCACCAGCAGCTCTTTGGAAACCCTATACAAGGTCACTATGAGTTAGAACCAACTTGGCAGCAGTTAATGACAAGAGTAAGACAAGTAAATTACTAAGATAACTTGTTTGCAGCGAGCCACTGCAAACACATTTTTAACATGTTTTGTTTGGAATAAATCCATGCATGTATGAATCAGAACCCTAATAGCAATATTTTTTGACTTATCTTTATGTGTGTGTGTGTGTGTGTGTGTGTATATATATATATATATATATATATATATATATAGAGAGAGAGAGAGAGAGAGAAAGAGAGAGAGAGAGAGAGAGAGAGAGAGGCTTCAAAACTGTTTTTTGGGGGAAGGGAATTAAAAGGTAATGGAATTTCCCCATGAACTTTTAAGTCTCTATATGTATCTTTCAATTCCCTTTTATATAGATATGTAGTTGTGTTGTTAGGTGCCAAGTCAGTTCTGACTTACAGTGACCAAATGTACAACAGAATGAAACACTGCCCAGTCCTCCACCATCATCACAATCACTGTTAGGTTTGAGCCCATTGTTGCAGCCACTGTGTCAATCCATCTCATTGAAGGTTTCCTCATTTTGGTCGATTCCCACTTTACTATATGATGTCCTTCTCCAGGGACTGGTTCCTCCTGATAACATGTCCAAAGTACATGAGATAAAGTCTTGCCATCCTGGCCTCTAAGGAGGATCCAGGTTATACTTCTTTTAAGACAAGTTTGTTCTTCTGGCAGTCCACAGTATATTCAATATTCTTTACCAACACCATAATTCAAATACATCAATTCTTTGGTTTTCCTTATTTATTGTCCAGATTTTGAATGCATATGAGGTCACTGAAAATATCACAACTTGGATCAGTTGCACTATAGTCTTCAAGGTGATATCTTTGCTTTTTAACACTTTAAAGATGTCTTTTGCAGCATATTTTCAAATGTAATATATTTCATATACATGTATATACATACATTTTTAAAAACAAATTCAAGCATAGACATAGCTAACCTGCTTTCTTGTATCAGAAACATTTCCCTATGCAAAAATTTTCTTCTAAATTGATTTTAGTGGTTGTGTAACAAATATATTTCTATTGTATGAAATCATAATACCTAAAAATGTACATAATACTCACTGCTGGTAGGAGGATAAGGTAGTAATCAATTTAGCCACTATTTATGCTACACTCAGTGATAACAAACTAGTAACTTTAGTTGCCTTTGGAAAGGGAAACATGATGGCAAGAGAATGAGGGATGAAGGAAGGAAGAATACCTTTCACTGAAAACCTCTGGTATTATTCCCACCAATGTCTCCCAGCACATAATGCCTTACCAGAATTTTATCAGCTTTGGCTTCACTAATCCCTTTAATATTTATTAGCTCCTTCTTTGGTGCATAGGCAACAGCCTCAACAGTATGGAATCCAGCATCTTCTAATTTCTTTACATCATTGGCATTTATGCCACATTGCTGCAAGGGAAGAAAACCATGGATTAATTTAAGCTTCAGTTTTCTTATCTGTCAAATGGGAATATTTGTCTGACCTATAATACAGAGTTGTTTTGAAGAAATGTATATACAACTACTTTTAAAAAGTATACCCTATGTATGAGGTATTCAATAACAAATTCCACCAGTCACTTTTCAGGATAAAGATATGGCAGTTTGCTTCCATAGAGATTACACCCTTGGAAGCCTTATGGGGCAGTTCTACTCTGTTCTATAGGGCTGATATGAGTGGGAATTGACTTGATGGTATTGAGTTATTAACAAATTAACTATGATTATAAAAATCAGTTGTTTTAAACTCGTTCACAACTATGTATATTAAAATGGATGCTTACACCAGTAACTTCCAACTTTTTTATGACTATGAATCTAAATAAATTTTGAGATCCTTGGCCCTTAATGCACTGCCATCAAATTGATATGCATAGTGACCCTATAGGGTCAGTATTTCTTAACCTTTTCCATATGAAAGGCATATACAAAATAATATTTTTACACTCTGATGAGTTAAATAGATAAGGCTGCCCAAGAACTGAGAGGCCCACCATCTTGGCATAGCAAATTACCCTTATATAAAAAAATAACTGAGAAGCTCTGCTCCAAATTACTAATGTTAAGATTGAGGAAAACTACTTTTGCAAACATTTAGACCAGTTCTTAAAACACACCATCCAAAGTACTACCTCTTTCTTCCTATATACAGTCAGCTTTGGTTTCAGTAGCTACTGAATCCATGATCATGCATTTTGGAGTAAGAGAGAGTTTGTTGTTGTTGTTAGTTGCTGTCAAATCAATTCCAACCGATACAGGGTTTCCAAGGAGCAGCTGGTGAGCTTGAACCACTGACCTTGCAGATCAAACGACTTTGCAGTCTGACACATTAGCCCACAGTGCCACACCAGGACTCCAGGGAGAGTTTTGTTGTGGTTAAATGCTGTCGAGTCATTTCTGACCCACAGTGACTCTGTATAGGGTTTCCGAAGAGCAGCTGGTGAGCTTGAACTGCCAACCTTGCAGTTCAAATGGCTTTGCAGTCTGGCACATTAACCCATAGTGCCACACTAGGACTCCCCAGGGAGAGTTTAGGAAGGGAAAAAGAACAGTATCTGCCTATAGAAACAACCCTTGCTTTGTATTCCAGCAGAGCGTATTTAAGTAATAAGGAATAGGTATAAATATGATCATGATACCAAAAGTTAAGACTCTGAACCTAAAGAGACAGTTAGAATTGAAGCTTTTCCTGCAATTCCTATCTCTTTTAGTCCAAGTCGGCTGTACTCATATTGTTGTTACAGTAAGTGCCGTTGAATCAGTTCTGACTCATAGCAACCCTCTATAGTGTTTCTGAGGAACAGCTGGTGGGTTTAATTGCTGACCTTGTGGTTCGCAGTCCAGTACTGATTCACAACACCACACCAGAAGTCCATTGAGTCCTCTATAGAAAAGTGCAGAAATAATGACAGACTCCCAGCTCTGGAGCTTTATGTTCTTGTACAAAATCTGGGATAGGAGCTTAGGTTTTTCCCTTTCATAACACCATGCCCTTCTTTCTGCCTTTGACAACTGCCTTGCTAGGAACTTCAGCACAGATCTGGGCCAATGGAGCAAAGTTGCTCCCTTCTCCTCCTTGCGTATCTGCTCAAGGCGACGGAATTCCCTGAGTAGCATTTTTATACTTTGTGTAAACAGTAGCAGCTCCTCTCTGGATCCTAGGACTTAGCTTCTGACAGTAAAACTTTGAGAAAGAAAAATGATAAAATAGGAGAACTGTTGACAAAGGAGAGTCTTAGCCAGACATGTTTAAATCCATCTTACTACTTTTCCACAGGATCCTTGATAGTCCTGAAATTTCTGATACAGGACTTAACCTTACATAGAAAACCAATTATGTATACACCAGCTGATTGCTTCCATCAGGCAAATATTCTAGTCTGGCAGTATAATTCTAAAATTATCAACTAAACACATACCTCTAACCGTGAAATAGGTTGTGGGCCAAAGCTTTCTTCTTCCACAGAAGTATCTGCATTTGCTTCAAGTTGCATCTGCATAGCCATTACAGAGTGTTCTATACTGGAAAATACAAAATACAGATGGTTATCAGGAAGTACAAGAGAGAACTATTTTGGAGAACTACAAAGCTGAAAACCTAGTTTTACAATAAATGTCTGAAGAATTATTTGCTAGACTTTTAATCACTGACCTAGCCATTTCAGGAAAAACAACCTCTCACCAGCTTCCTTCTCTATCCATCTAGATAGCTAGCCAGCTGAATTAGACTTTTAGAAGAGTCAGGACTTCACTTCTTAAAAATGGGCACCTTAACTAGCCACTACCACCAGAATCATAAAGATTATGAATCAGCTTCTGAAAACCCTACTGGCTGGCTGAGTTCATGTATTGGAATATCAGTAGATTGAATTTTTTCCATAATTACTGCTCATCTCTTTAACAGCTCCAGCATCATGCTTAGTCACTAGAGGTCAAATGAATTATGAAAAATTCATTTTCACAGTTTAATGAAAAGAAATCTCCACAATACTAATTTTGTTTCTCTGTATTGCTTGCATTTGGTATTAGTGTCTGCAATTGCATTCCTATCAAAAGCTGATTCCCCACCCCACCCCCTTAAGGCATACATGATTTAGGATGCTATTCTTTCTTTGATTTTGTACCAATTATTTAAAAATGGGTATGCTAAAAACCAATTTGTAGAGCACTAAAGCACGAGCAAGTTTCATCTAAGCCTGTAAAAAAAAATATGTATATAAGATTTTTATATTTTTTTCCACTAGGAAGACATTCTTCCTGGGTGAAACTACAAATACGTGCAGAGTATATTTAATAAAAAAGAAATGATAAAATGCCTAACTATACAAGTTAAAGATAGACTGGCATGTAGTATATATTCCATATAAATAACTTCATATATTTATGTATGTGTAGTATATATTCCATATAAATAACTTTAGCCTTTATACAAATGAGGACACAGGCTGACATTGGCCCTCATAAACATTAATGGTTTCAAATGGCCATCTTTGTTTCATTATAATCAAGTTATTTTACTCACTGTTGAGGCTTCTTCGATGGAAAGGTTTTATAATGCAGTAGATCTACGAAACTATTGTGCATACTGATCTGTATTAAATTTGTATAGAGTTTTAAAACAAATGTAAATAGCACGAAACATTTCCTTCCCTCCTGCAACCCCTACTTAAGAGAGGTTCTTTCTGTAAACTAAGTAAAATTTTTTTTTTAAATGAGCATCTTACTAGGTAACTATTCCACTCTGTACCCTTGCTTTATATTCCTTGAGGATAGGGACCAATTTTATTTATTTTTTATATACACCATGATAAACAATAAATATGTTTGGTAAATGAATGTAGACTTTCAGAAACTCTACTTACAACAACAAAAAAAGTTTATGACACTTCACATTTATTGTTCCCTTCCAATAAGGGGAAATCTGGAGGGGGCAGGAGTGAAATAAAGGTATAGAATGGTTGGTTATCCATAAGCCTCCATTCTTAGTAGAGAAACTATGTTTTGAGGTAAGTACATGTGAACTCCATTGAGGGCACTAATACCACACCACAGACATCATACCTTGCATACAAAGGAGGCTTCTAGGGTGCTGTTGGAGTTCTAGTGTGATGGAATAAAGCACTGGACTGCAAAGTAGGTTTGAAGTTCAGCAGTTCGGATTCGCTGACTCAACGGCACTTAATAGGGTGCTGATATGTTCGAACTGCCGCCCTTGCGGTTCAATTCGACCTTGTGGTTTAGTGCTTATGCTACGTCGCCACACTACAGCGCTAGCAGCCTTCTGTTTCTTCAACTATTGCGATTACATGAGGAACCCTGGTGGTGCCTTGGTTAAAGCGCTAAAGCGCGGTCAGCAACCAGTGGCCCCCAGGGAGAGAAAGATGTGGCAGTCTGCTTCCATAAAGACTTACAGCCTTAGAAACGCTCTCAGGTAGTTCTCGGTACTACTGGGCTGCGAGGAGTCTCATTCAACTGTGTCTGGGTTGTGATTACACAGCATCCATCTTGTAGCATTCCTGGAGCTGGAAACCCTCGAGAGCTGTCCTTTTTCCTAGATGGCTACTACACTTTAGAAGTTTAGGGGGAAACGCACTTCCAATCATTCCCTAGGCATCACTGAACAGTCTTCCACAGCAGATAACGAAAGCATCTTTTTAGCAGTTGGAGGAGCCTGGGTGGTAGCCTGCAATCCGAAAGGTGGGCGGTGGGAAGCCACCACACCAGCAGCTCCGCAGATGGATGCGGCCGTCTGTCTGCTTCCAACCTTGGGAACCCTACCCTGGCCTAGAGACTCGACTCACACCAACAGGGTTGTTGTTGGCAACTGGAGGTACTTCTATACATAACATGTTGTATAGAAAAGAGTACTGAAAAAGAATCCGGAATAGCAGATTGATAGCTGTGTACTTAACTCAGTCCAGATCTGAAATATAAAATGAGTATTGGATATGAAGGTGTTCTTCTTGGTGTGGAGGGTAGGATCAGCACTGAACTGCTAACCGTAAGGTCAGTGGTTCAAAGCCACCAGCTGTTCCGCGGAAACCCCATACAGGGTCGCTATGAGTCGGAACCGACTCGACAACACTTAACAAGATTCTCTCCAGCTCTAAAGACAGCGGTCAGCTCTTAGGTTTTCTCCACAGCGAGCTCGGAGGGCTGTTGGTCCCAGAGCAAGCCCTGCTCCTCCATCAATGACTTCCTCTCTTAGCGCGCAGACCCTCTGCAAGACGGTAGCGGAAGCACGGAGCCGCGCCAGGTTCTGATAACGCGGCGACGGACCACTGCAGTGTAAAGGGACCCGGTTTGCGCCTTACACACTCACCACAGCCTGAAACACTGTTGGTCAGGAGGGCCGCGAGTTCCGACTTCCGTCCGTTGGCTAGCGAACGCTGAACCTCTGACGGTTCCCAGACCCCCACTTGCGCCACACACCTCTTCTTCTTTGCCTCAGCCTTCTGCGCAGAAGCCAGACCAGACAAGGCTCCAACTACTTTGGGGGGCGCGTCAGCTCTCAGGCCGTGGTATTAGTGGCAGGGCGCGCCAGGCCGCGGTTTTCGGAAATGCCGCCAAACCCTCTTGGGCAGGGTCACGCCGCGTCAACGTAACGTCATTACGTCCTTTTCGGATCAGCCCACTAGCCACTTCGGCCGCGGCCCGAGAGCGAGCCAGAGGTTGACCCGTTGAACGCGAATGATATTATAGGTCGCCCTCCTTTTCTCTTAAGGACTAATTAATTTCTTTTTCGCCTCCAGAGAGCGTTACTAGGTGGAAGACTACAATTCCCAAGAGGTATCGGGGCAGACCTGGGACTACATTTCCCAGCACGCACTGCTGGCAGGTACGGCGGCTTCCAATCCTCGGCTTTGCGGATTTCAAGCTTGGTTACTGCTCCGCGGAATGTAACCCGGTTGCTGCGAGCTGTCTTCTGCAGTGTGTGAACGTGGACTTCTGACGATTTAATTTGTTCCCGGTGTGGCGCTGTGGGTTAATGCACAGAACTGCAAAGTCTTTTGAACCGCAAAGTTCGGCGGTTCAAGCTCACTAGCCGCTCTTCGGAAACCCTATACAGGGTCGCTATGGGTCGGAACAGACTCGACCGCACTTAACAACAACAACAAGCACCGTAGGATAAGCACTCGACCTCAAAGTCGATTTGAACCGCGAGGTTAGCGATTCAAACTCAACAGCCTCTCCTCGGAAATCCTATACCAACACGGTCGCTGAGTCGGAACCAACTCGACAGCACTTAACAACAACAAGATGACACAAATTCCCGGAACCTTCAACTTTCCAGGTCACTGGAGATGGTGGAGCTGAGGAAATCTGAAATGAATATGAATTGTTTGTTGTTGTGTGCCTTCAAGTCGGTTCCCACTCATAGCGACTGTGTATAGGTTTCCAAGGAGCGACTAGCGAGTTTGAACTGCCAATCTTGCTGTTCAAAGCGACCTTGCGGTCCAGTGCTTTATCCTACAGCGCCACACTAGGCTGTAGTACTCACCTGAAGGTAAAAAGGAGTGACTGGGATAGTAGTTTAAATCTGTGGTGTATTATCAGATTTACAGGATCCCAGAGGAAAGAGGCATGAATTTTTCTAAGGTGTGCCATTTTTACCAGGAAGTTTGATTTGCAGTCCCAATCTTAAGGGGTGAGTAGGGTTTCCCAGACGAAGAAGTGGTGGACGATTTAGCTGACAAAGAAAGGTCATTGAAATGAACACCCTCCAGGAATAGCATTGTTTGAAGAAGGAGGGTAGCATAAAAGGTGTTCAAACTGGAAAGCTACCTTTAGCCCATACTCTGGAAGAACATTCTAGCAAGCTTTGGTCTTTATTTTAGGTAACTGGAAAATCATCAAAGGTTTTTAAGCAGACTAGTTAAGATTTATAGCTGCCCACCCCCTTTGCTACCTCAACACCATTATCCTGTGGTTATGTAAAGGATAGGTTTCAGAAGTGTAAAGCCGGCAAAAACTGTTAGGAAAGTATTGCATTATTTCAGGCAAGAGATGAGGCCTTAACTTAGAGTAGCAGAGGGAACAGATTCAGGAAACATTCTGGAGGTTGCATTAACCTACCTTAGTGATTACAAGTATTACCTGGAGATGATTGTTGTTGTCATTAGTTGCCACTGAGTTGGTACTGACTCATAGTGTCCCTATGCACAGCAGAATGAAAGAAACATTGCCTGATCCTGGGCCAACTTCATATTCATTGCAATATTTGAGCCCACTGATGCTGCCACTGTGCCAATCCATCTCGTTGGGGGTTGGTCTTCCTCTTTTTCTCCGACCCTCCACTTTACCAAACATGATATCCTTCTCCAGTGACTGGCCCCTCCTGACAAGATGTTCAAAGTATGAAAGACAAAGTCTGGCCATCCTGGCTTCCAAGGAGCACCCTGAATGTACTTCTTCCAACACCAGATCTATTTGTTATTTTGGCAGTCCATGGTACTTTCAGTATTCTCCTCTAACACCATAACTCCAGTGCATCAATTCTTCTATAGTC